AGTAGCATCCATGGTGCCCAACTGGGTACTCAAATTCACATTCAAACTCGAATTCATATTCATATTCGTAATGAGAATCAGTTTAAGGTATACCGAACCATTTTTCGTAAAGTTCTTTAAAATACAAAAAAATCAAATACTTGAAACAAAGTCAAAAAGAGACTGTGTAAGTTAAAAGTATATCCATAAAATGACACAGCTTTTAAGGCTCAGAACAAATTCAGCTCCTGCATAATACATATCCACATCCAGATTTACACTAAATATTTTCAGAAATATTTATATTTGGAGCTTAACACTTTTAATTGTCATTTATTTTAATTTTAACTGCATTAATTAATAATTAAAATTTCTAGACAATTTGCCGTCGAATTTGGGGGCTACTCGCACGTAATATCGCAATTTCTAACTGAATCTCTTAGATGACCGCAGATTACTGTTCACACAAAATCATATTCAGATAAGAATGAACGTTTTGCAAATATGTACTTTTCTTCTTACTATGCGCCAAGGCAGGTAATTAATCTTTCAAAAGTAAACTACGTACCTGCCTACACATTTAAGCACATGGGGCGGAGTAAAGAGAAAGGCGTCTTAATATTAATATTGCAAATTGAGCTAAGAAAATAATTGTTATCTTTTAATACATTTATCTCTGTTTGTATTTGCGTATGATCTTTAACTTACATTCAAAAATACGTTACATATAAGAGCTTTAAAAGTATTCATTGATCCATTGGCGCTTAAAATACGCAAGCACTGAATTGTTTACGCTTCATGTTAAGCTGGCAAATATATATGTAGAAAAGTAAACAATATAATTGATTAGATAAAAATCCATCTTAGCCAAATAGCAGCAAAGAGATAAATTTAATAGCAGCACTTTTAATAATCGCTTCTTAAGTGTACGGCAATGCAGGTAAAAATCTCTGATTTCAATAAAAATGATAACGAATTTTTATTTTTTATTTTTTGTTCAATTTTAATGTTTAAGTTTAATTAAGAAAAATTCATCAGCTAACTGTTAAATGCTAAAATATTATAAAATGATTATGAACCCATTCTTATGAATATAATATTATGACAAAATAATTGTATAAATATTTATAGTTATTTAAATTTTGCATTGTTGATTATTATTTATAAAAATAAAATACAAATCAAAACGGGTTTCTTTACCGATAGCTTCTTTATACTCAAAATGGCAATTTATTTGCGAAGTAACTCCTCTTAATTAATATCGCAATATACAAATATCGATAAGCAGCCCATCCATCATATCAGTTACRCCGTCATATTATGGATAACAAATATCAGTATCGCGCAGTATCGCTCACCACTAACTAGTGCTCCTCTTGTGTAACAAATAGAACAAGAAGTAGTCTTTAAAGTCTTGCAGAAACAAAATAATATAAAAGCCATGCAAATATGCAAGTGTGAATAGTGAGTTGAAGTCAACCGACCACAAGCAATGCAGCTAAAATATTAGCTAATTACAATGGAAATCACTTTGACAAAGAGAAATAAAAATTATCGATAATTGAGATTTTTTGGTGCGGGGACGGCTACATATGTGGCGGTATATTTTGTAAATTTGTTGTGAAATTTAATGAATGTGCTACGTTTTTAATAAATTTCGCTCAACTATTTGACACATATCGGGCAGTGTTACCAAGCGTAATTAATTTTGACCATGGCGCAGACGTATAATCCATAATTTCTATGCAACTGGCTTGGTGGTTTTCCACGTCTATGACATCATAATCTGTGCGAATCAAGTATTTTCTATGTTGTGACAAGTCACAGGATAAATAAGGAAAATTATTAGTGTAAAACGATATTTGTTATTGCAACGACTCAATTTGACATATGTGTGTATATATGTATGCTTGTACGCACGTACTCATGCACTTAAAAATTTATTTGCATGTGTAGGTGAGTACATCAATAAGTACTCACGTATATATGAACGTGTGTGTCACTGAGCGATCGGATAAAAAAGTAAAGAAAAAGAAATAAAAGAAACAGTAGTCAGCTAGCAGTCGGCAGTGAGCAGAAGTAGGCGTAGTTTGGTGCAATTGGGATTTATGACTCATAATTAAGATACACCCTAAGAAACAAAAAACCGACGGCTGTTTTGCAATCAAACAGCACAAAGTACATATGTTCAGACAGTGCCACATACAAACAAACAATACATAGATATGTGCTATGTATTTATATAAATGCATATATATTGTACGTATGTATGCAGATAGATATACATATGTATACCGTTTACATACGTACGTTTGTATGTTATTAGAGCACAGGCGCACTGAAATATCAATAGTAATAAAAAACTCTCTATGCATAACATAACAAAAATGCACGACTAGAATAAACAATGTTCTCTTGCATCGGAATTAAACCTGTAACGAAATATAAATCGATTATTAATCGGCTTTTTCCTATATTCTGATACAGACAAGCAATTAGCCACAATCAATCTATTTTTTCCAATACAAATCAATGTATATCAAAGTTTTGTGTTTTCTTCTGCAGATTCCAGGTGACAATAGGTTGTTGAAAATATTGCAAAATTGGACAAACCCTTTGCGACTTTGTACGACATAGAGAGGTCGTACCCACAAACAGTATTCGGAAGGAAAGCACCATCAGCGAAGATGGTACTACTTCCAGTACCACGCAACCTCAAAGGTAGGCTCCAAACATTGTCATACTTTCCAATCAAGTGCATATTTGATTATTAATAGTTAAAACGAGTAAGGTTAAATTAAAGTTTTAGCAAATTTATATATATTCATTGATTTTTTTTTTTACTTTGCAGAAATAACTCAGATATTTCTGGTGAGGAACAAACTGTGCAAGAAGCTAAAATCCAAAAACCGGGACAGTGTGCTTCTAATAAAACTGCCTCCCCAAGGAAAATCGTCAGTCCGACTTCTAGATTAAGGGGCACTGCACAGAGAAGCAGATATCGTCGAAAGCAAGAGTCGGCTCCTGTACACACTAGCAGCACCAACATTAGCACCAACAGCAACAGCAACGCCAATATTAGCACTCAGCTTCAGTTACATCAAACAGCAGCRCCAGCAGCATTGGAACCGAAATCCGCCTCGCCCGCATCACATAGTAAAACTAACGTTTGGAGCCGTTTACTGCGTCAGTTCTCAGGTAGCACTCTAACTGGAAGATCGGTTGGTAGCAACAATAGCTCAAGGGGACAAATCAACGTTGACGAGGCAACCGATATTAACTCTGATAAGGGTGAGGAGTCCGTGACAGTTAGCGTTCTGGGAGTTTGCCGGGAGGCAAAGGATACTGCCGTTGCGGAACATAATGAGGAAACAATGGATGGTGAATCCCAGCCATCAGATGCAGCCAATAGCCCAAGTTGTCAAAAGGCTCCTGTAGTGTCCGCGGATAACAGCAAAGACAAAGACATGCCAGCCAAGGCTGTTGTGTCCCCGTCCCCCGCTGCTGATGCCAAACCGAAAA